TGGAGGTAGAGGCAGCATATTCCACATTGGGAAATACTGCTTCAACCCGTATGCTGGGTTACAGTAACAACCATCAGCTTCGTATAGGGCCAGAGTAGGAAAGCACTCTACACTAAGCCCAGGCTGTGATAAAAGTGGGCTGGCTACGTGGTCTTACAACCCAACAAAGCTCCCACCTGTGGTGGGAGCTCTGGTAGCACAATGCCTAAGGCATCTGACTACTAACCAGAAGGTTGGTGGTTCAAACCCACCAGCCACTCTGTGGAAGCAAGACTGGGCAGTCTACTTCCATAAAGATTTATTGCCTCGGAAACCCAGTGGGGTTGTTATGAGTCAGAATCGACTTGATGGCAGTGGGTTTGGTTTTTTTTTTTTTTTTTTTTTTTGGTGGTGGGAAAAAGTGCCAGGTGAATTTATGGCAAAGCCCCAAGAAGAGAATAATGATGTAGATTCCTAAGAATTTTGAACAAAACAATGCCATCTGCAGTGGAGAATTGTATACATATATTTGAAAGCAAAACTCCTGCCATACTACTGGCCTCTGGTAAAGATAAACATGAGACCATGCAGGGTCATTGGTATCCATGGGGCTAGAACTGACCATCATGACCTGGTTTTGTCAGACCCACCAAATCCTAAGGTAAAGTGGGTCTGTGTCAATCCATTGTAAGTGGCTCATCTAGTAATTAGGCATAGTCAGGCCACTAGGCACAAGTAAGTTGCACGAGTAGGCAGCCCAGGCCCTACGATATCTGTTGGCACTGGTGCTTTTTATGGGGTAGGTTCTTAAAACCAGCTGATGGAAGAGGGAAACATGTCTGAGCTTGGTTCAAAAATGTATTGGCTCAGTACATGAGTGTAAGCCCAAAATTGACTGCAGGTGCACCAACTTGGAGTAGTCCTAAAAAGACAATAGTGAGGTAAAATCCGTCAGAGCTTTGAGCAGGGCATTTGATCATGGAAACAGAAGTGACCCCAAAGTTAGAAAATATTTGGGCCTCTGAGCAATGGTGAATGATTGATTGGTCAGGGGCCAGGAATAAACGTATTGGAAGATCAAGGACCAAGAAGTCTTGGAATGAGAATGAGGCATGTGAATGGATCTGTGGGAATGGTAATGAATTATATCCCACCAAAGAACGTTCACCACAAGAGAGACACTAAAGTGTATTGATAGAATGACTTGGCCTGTTGGCATCTGCCGGCCTCTGTCATCTGCTGTGCCAGTGCTGACATCCTGGACCCTTTGGGGCTGGGGTGGAGGCTGTATTGGGTCTAACAGTATGGCGCTCCACTCACCAGTGCTGACGTGGCTTTCATCTCTGCTGAGTGTCCGGTACCGTCCTTTGAGAAGAGCAGTAAGTCATTTTTTACAAGTTGACAACACTGGACCCCGTGGACCCTAAAGGTGCAGGGATTCATCTTGACTGAAATTGACACCAATTTCAGCCATGAGCCCATTCACAGAATGAAACAGCGCATTGGCTTTAGGGACCCATTTCACAGCAAAGGAGCTGTAACAATGGGCCCGTGACAGTGGGGTCCACTGGTTCTTTCATATCTCACACACCCAGGAATTGTTAGCCTTTGCAAGTGATGGAATGGCCTGCTGAAGGAGCAGCCCGGTGCCAGCTTGGCAGTGATACCCTGCACCGATGGAAGAGTGACCTTCAGTGTGCTGAGTACATCATAAATCAAGGACTAGTCTATGATGCAGTGTTCCCAATATGTATAACCAACGGGGCTGGGAAGCAAAATGGAGAAGGAGGAGCAGCCCTACTCACCGTTTCTCGCGGTGACGCACTTCAGAAATTTGCGTTTCTCTTCTCCTGTGTAGGACAGAACGATGTACTGCCCGGTCCTGTGCCGCCCTCACAATCACTGTTACCTTTGAGCCCACTGTTGTAGCCACTGTGTCGATCCATCTTGTTGACATTCTTCCTGTGTTTCCTGATCCCCTACTTTACCTCCTGATACGGTGTCCCACGTATGTGACATGAAATCTCACCATCTTCACTTCGAAAGAGCATGCTGTCTATCCTTCTTCCAAAATAGATTAGTTTATTTTTGCAGCAGCCCATGATATACTTAATATTCTTTACTAACACAGTAATACATCAGTTCTTCTCATGCATGTGATGTGATTGAAAAGACCGTGGCTAGGGTTGGGGGCATCTTAGCCCTCAAGGTGACATCTTTGCTTTTTAACACTTTCAAGAGGTCTTTTGCAGCTGATTTTCCCAATGCATTACCTCGTTTGATTTCTTGACTGCTGCTTCCATGGGCATTGATTGTGCATCCAAGAAAAATGAACTCCTTGACCACTTTAGTCTTTTCTCCATTTATCTTGATGTCCCTTACTGGTCCAGTTGTGAGAACTTTTGTTTTCTTTATGTTGAGGTGGAATCCATACCGAAGGGAGTAGTCTTTGATCTTCATCATTAATTGCTTGAAGTCCCTTTTACTTTGAGCAAGGTCAATTATGTCATGTGCATATCACAGGTTGTTAATGAGTCTTCCCTTCAATTGTGATGTTGCATTCTTTATATAGTCCCAGCTTCTCAGATAATTTGCTCAGCAATGCAGATCGAATAAGTATGGTGAAAGGATACAACCCTGACACATACCTTTCCTGATTTTAAATCATGCAGTATTTCCTTGTTCTGTTGGAACATCATCTTTTTAGTCTATGTGCGGGTCCTCATGAGCACAATTAAGTGTTCTGGAATTCCCATTCTTTCCATATCCTTTTCTGAATCTAGCTTGCACTTTTTTGAAGTTCCCTGTCAATATACTGCTACAACCATTTTTTAATTATCTTTAGCAAAGTTTTACTTGCATGTGAGATTAATGATACAATTTGGTAATTTCCACGTCCTGTGGGATCACCTTTCTTTGGAATGGGTACACATTTGGATCTCTTCTAGTCAGTTGGCCAGGTAGCTGTCTTCTGAATTTCCTGGCACAGATGGGTAAGTGCCCCAGAGCTGCATCGCTTGTTGAAACATCTCAGTGGGTCTTCTGTCAACTCCTGGAGGCTTGTTTTTCACCAAATTCCTTCAGTGCAGCTTGGACTTTTTCCTTCAGTACTATTGATTCTTGATCATATGCCACCCTCTGAAATGATTGAATGTTAACCAATTCATTTTGGTACCATGTTTGCATCATATTTGTATGTAAATATAACCTAATTCAAATTGAACATAGATCTGTAACCTGCACCCAGATCAAGAAACAGAACATCACCAGCATCCCCAAAAGCAAATTGCGTGCTCCCGTTGGGTTATTACTCCTCCCAGCTCCCAAGGGCCCTGTGTATATCTTTCTTTAATAAGCATTGACATTTGCTATCCAGGACGATTCTAACAATTCATGTTTCCACCACTGATGCATGAGACTGTCTCTCCCCTGCATTTTCCTGACATTCTGTTGCATTTGCATATTAACTTGTTTGTTTTGCTTTTGGGATTTGTTCTTTTGTATATCATCTCACTCTCACTTTATGTTTTTCTGTAGTGTTGTCTTTTTTTGTCAATGTATAAAATCATGTTCCATAATATAGGTATTAACCCTTTGGCATTTTTGGTCCAAATATTTTTTTCCAATGCATTTTTTTTTTCAGGTATATTGGTAGTTGTACCAGCCCTGTTTATTAATCTGTCCTTTTCAAAGGATGGGAGCTCTGGTGGCATAGTGCCTAAGGCTAACCTGTTAACCAGAAGGCTGGCGGTTCAAACCCACCAGCCATTCCTCAGAAGGAAGGTTGGGCAATCTACTTCCGTAGTGATACTGCCTCGGAAACCCAAGGAGGGGTCGCTATGAGTCGGGTCTGACTTGTGGGCAGTGGGTTGTTGTTGTTTTCAAAGGATACTTGATTTCAAAGATGAAAAATTATCTTTGTTGTATATAAAATTCTTACGAGTCCTGGGGTCAGTTTCTGGATTGTCTGTTCTGTTCTTATGGTCTTTATTCTATTCTTATTCAAATACTGTATCAGTTTGATTGCATTGATTTATAGTGTGTTCTGGTAAATGTGGTAAGGCAAGTCTTTTTGTTTTTAAACTTACATTTCTTGCCTATTTTGAGGTATTTTGTCTTTCATATGTACTTTGGAATTATTTTAGTCGACTAAAAGTACCCTGCAGGATCTCTAATAGAAATTTCTTTAAATTTATATTTAGAAGAATGAAACATTTTATGATACATTTGTACAGATCTTTTTGTATGCTATTTTATATGGTTTCAAGTTTTTTTCATCGAGGGCCATGTGCTTTTCTCATTAAATTTTTCTTAAGTATAACTTTTTCTCCCCCTATGGTTAATGAGGGAGCTCTGGTGGCATAGTACCTAAGGCATCTGACTGCTAACCAGAAGGCTAGTGGTTCAAACCCACCAGCTACTCCTCGGAAGGAAGGTTTGGTAATCTTCCATAGTGATACTGCTTCGGAAACCCAAGAAGGGGTCACTATGAGTCAGATCCGACTCCATGGCAGTGGGTTTTTTTTTTTTTTTTTAATGTGGTTAATGAAAAATTTCCCCACATTGGCCTTTGTTGGTTGTTACTAGTGTCTTGTAGGATAGGTGGGTACATAGACCCCAGGGTTATACTGCCTGATTCCTTACTGTTCCTTACTGAACTTACTGTTCAGCTCAGGTGGTCTAAGAATTTCCTCAAACCTTTTACATATATGAGTTCTGTAAAATGTTGACCTTGAGTTTTCAGAATGAAGTATTCAAATGCAAATGTCAAGTAATAATTTTCAATAACATTTCATGATTCCACATATTTATCTTCAACAAATTTGAAGATACTTTATATAAATGCTTACTGCAGTGGCAATCTAGATTTTGTTTGTAACTTTTATTACATTGGTTTATGTAAGTTAATAATGAATAAACAGCATCATTTTGGAGGCTACTTTCAATGTTTAGGTAGTGATATGACTTAGATTTCACTGTTTCGTTAATGTTCCATGCTTCTTTTTGTTTGTTTTTAAAAGATGCAGAAATGGTGAGCAAATCCAGTGTCAAGTCTTCAGTACTACTTGAAGATGGGAGGTGCCGATCACTTGGGAAAAAGGTATAAATATGAGTAATTATAACCTTCATAAGGAACCATGCTGGCACGATGGTTAAGTGCTCAACTCCTAACTAGAAGGTTTGTGGCTCAAACCCACCCATCAGTTCCATGGGAGAAAGTCCTGGCTGGCTGTTTTTGTAAAGATTATACCCTATGAGGCATTTCTATTCTGTCCTTGTTGTTATTGTTGTTAGGTACCATCGAGTCATTTCCGACTCATAGTGACCCCATGCACAGCAGAACGAAACATTGCCCGATCCTGCGCCAGCTCCACGATCCCTGCTATACTTGAGCCCATCATCACAGCCACCGTGTCAATCCATCTTGTTGAAGGCCTCCCCCTCTTTTGTCGACCCTCCAC